GAAAGAGGGAGGTTTTCCCCTTGGAATTCTCCCTGCAGCGAGGTGAAGATTCGTGGTGAAGCACGGTTTGTCCCTTGGTGCAGCCCATGAGAAGATGCAGCTGTGGAGGACCCCACGCTGGAACTAGGGAGAAGCCCACGCTGGAGCCAGGCAGTCCTCAGGGAACTGTGGCCCCGTGTGGAAAAGGACTCACGCTGGAGCACTTTTTGAGAAGGACTCTCCCACAAGAAGGGCCCCCCTGTTGCAGCCGGGAAAGACTGTGAGGAGCCCTCCCCTGAGGATTGGGAACGGACTGCAGCCCCCATTCCCTGCCTCCCCCCTGCGCCACCGAGGGGTGAGGGCAGAAGGTACAGAGCAAAGACTTTGGGCTTTGGGAAGAAGGGATGGGTGGGGGAGAAGTGCCTTTTTAAGATGCGGTTTCTCTCTCTCAATATTTTGCTTCTTGTTGTAAATAGTTAATAAATTCAACTGTTTTTTTTGTTCTTCCCGAGTCATGTGGGTTTCTTACCCTAAGTTGTGAGTGAAACCCTCCCTGTCCCTGCCTCAGCCCACCAGGTGTTTAACAAAAACTGTCCCTGTGGCTTTATAAACCATGACAATGGCTCATTTCTTTTCCTTTCCCCCATTGCTCAGTGCCCGACGTGCAGGTGGGTGAGCTCCCCAACTCCCTGGTGCTTATGGCGGAGCGTCTGGGGGACGCGGAGCGCAAGAGACGCCATGCCAGGAAGGACGACTACAACATCGAGGTCTTGCTGGCGGTGGATGACTCGGTCGTACGCTTCCATGGGAAGGAGCACGTCCAGAACTACGTCCTCACCCTCATGAACATAGTAAGGCTTGGCTTTGGTGGGACCTGGGCTCCCAGCCCTCCATTGGGTTACTGGTCCTCTGATGCTGCAAATGTGTTATCCTGGAAAAAAATGGGATGTGGGGGGAAAAGTGTGGCAGGAAGGTCTGATCCCTATACCACTTGTCTTTCCTTTTGAAGAAAAAAATGTACATACTCTCCAAATCCTGAGGGATGTGGAAGGATCAATATTTATTCAGCTAGTCATCTCGCAGGAAGTTTGCTCCACTGGCACATGAGTGTCTGCAAACAGGGTCTGCGCTCAAAGATCTCTTTCAGGTGGTCTCCCATTTTTGTTTTGTTTTTCATGTTTTATGCTCGCCTCTATTTATTTATTTTTATTTAAACACTCTTTTTCCCTGGTGATGGAAAGTGTTCAGAAGGCACAACAAGCTCAGAAATAACCAAGCTCTAAGAATGCTTTTGCTTTTTGGTCGCTTGTTTGTCTGTTTGGACATTATTTCTGTGTATTGTCGGTAACAAAGGGGAAATTATCAACATCAGGGGTAAGGATTTGCAGGATTAGTGTAATGTGGCCAGTCCCAAATAGAGAAGATATTGGTTTTTAAAAAGCAAATGCCTTCATTACAGTGTTTTATTCTCCGGTGCGTTATCCTGATGCGGGTGGTAGGATGCTCTCAGCATCACTTAAATTCAATCTCTGCAATTTTCTCCCCTTTGCTTTTGCTAAATCCTTCTGCAAGGGGGAAGCTGTAGGGTTCCCTGTTCCGATGCTGGGGCTCTTCCCACGTTACGGGGGTCAGAGATGGCGTCATTTTTCCTTTCCAATCTGGGGAGGGGGGAAAGGACAGTATGGGCGCCTGGGGATTGTCAGCTCAAATCAAAAGGTTGGTTTTCAGGCGCATTTCATGGTTTCTACCCTGCGGGCAGGACTTTTCAGGGAGTGAATACATGGGATGCTGTGCTGGGAGAAGGGAGGACCGCTCTCTATTCAAATCGAGGTGGCACTGGAGACTTTCATGAATTAAATAAAGGGGGGGAAAAAAGCAGCATCAATAAAAGGGGGGAAAAACCCAGGATAATGCACGCAACAACTACTTCCCCCGAGTATTATTTCCTTTTATACATCCTTCCCCCACCCCTTTCCCTTTCTTTCCTTCTGGTTTTTAACGCGTTTTCTTTCCAGCTTTGCCGTGACCTCCGGCCGCCTCCTCTTCCCTTGGCGCCGCCTCGTTTCCTTTACCAGCTCGGATTGCCTTAAAATACCCGAAAAAAGCAGGAAAAAAAAAAAATTAAAAAAATTGCTTTCTGGCCTGGCTGGCAGAGGGAGAGAGAGAGGAGGGTGCTGGGGGTTGGCGGGGTGCTGGGACCACACAGCTGAACACTAATCCCATTAGTTGGAGGCAAGGGAAAGGAGGAGAGGCTTGGACAGCCCTCTAACGAGGAAAGGACTTAATGAGCTGGGCTGGAATATGCTGGGGAGATGCTGCCAGCTGGGAAAGCCTCCAGGATTCTTTCCTATCAAGATATGTCTCAAGGAAAGGGAGAAGTGAGCTGGGAAGTTCAGGATAAACTCCTGGGCTTTTTTGGGGTCCTTGTTGGGTGCTGAGGGGGTGATGGGACACGTACCCCTTCCTGGCGCTGTGCGGGCTCAGCTTAACATGGTCCTGCTGGAGGTGGGGTCTCGGAGACACAAACCCCTTTATTAGGAACTCGGTGTCAAGTGAAGCTTGGTGATAAATGATTCGTCACGGATACTTTTTTTTTTTTTTTAAAAAAAAACAACCCTTATTTTGTTGCCAGAAATGTGGTTGACAAGCTTTTTATCACCCGGTGCTGTGTCCATCGCGGGAAGCTGATATGAGGATGACTGCTCCTTTTGTGCACCTTGGAGCTTCCCTGTGGGCTGCCATCCCCACTAGCTCCCAGCCTGCATTCCCAGCCCTCCCATCCTTTCTCGGCTCAGAGGATACGCCTGGATTTTGGGACAAGTTGAGGCGAGTGGCACTGGATGGATCGCAGGCTTGGGAAATGCATCCTGACTTCGGCATATTTTTGCTTTCTCCGTTTTCCCTGGCATCCCTTCTGATAGCAAGCTTGATGAGAGCTTGACCTTCTTTGTTTCGGGTTGCTTGCCAGCCTCCGCACCGGAAAGCAGAGCTTTGCCTTGCCAAAATGCCTTCGCCATCTCTTGCTGTGCATGCTGGAGAAGGTGTATCTCAACTCATCCTGTAACTCCGAGCCGAGCATTACCGTGTCCAGCCTAGCACAGCCTGGCTCGCTCCCTGATGCTGGGCTCTTGGGATGAATATTTGGGGATGTGGCAGCTGGGGAAAGCCACTGCAATGCTATTGAAGCAAAATTTGCATCCCACAGTGAGGGCTGAAGGGTGGGAGAAGGGCTGGGCACCAGGAGGGGATCCAGCACCCCTTCACGAGCAGAGGAGAGGAGAAGTTTTGTGTTCAGCTTTGCTTTGCAGCCTCTTGCCATTCAATTGGACCCCTTGAGAGGGAATTACCCAATTAATCTTGGGGCTGTGTTGGCCAGTCAAAAGCCCAGGCATAGTTTTCTCCTCTGGACTTCCCACCGCTTGCCCCTGATGTGCTCAAGGATGGGGCTGGCCCCGCTCAGAGGAGATAAACCGATCTGCGGGCTCAGTTAAGCCCCAGCTCTGGGGTCAGCTGGTTTGCTGGGGATTTTGTTGGATATTGCCCACGATTTGGCTAAGGATGTAAAGGTACTTGGTGTTTTCCCATTGTTTCGAGTTACCAGGGAAACCCCATGAGTCAGAGCCTGCTCCAGGCTGGGACTTGCACGGCTCCCCTCCTGCACATCACATCAGCTGGATTATTGCTCCCAGGGGCTGAGCGAGCAAGTGCTGCTGAGACCCCGGGGAGGAGAGGGGCAGGGGAAAAAAAAAAATAATTCTGGCTTTATTTTTAACCTGGGATTATTTGAAAAGCCAAGCCGGAGTGTGGATTGCTAGAGACAAGGATTTGCTGAGCTTGGTGCTGTTTCAGGAGGGAGGAGGCCAGTGTGAAATAACAGGCAAATTCTAGTCTTTCTGGCATTTTTTTTTTTGGGGGGGGTAGTTCATGAGCCATCCCATGACTGATAATAACAAAAAATACCTCTGATATCTCTCTTAATGCACGTACACACTTTTCCCCCAGCCCCTATATAGCCTCGTGTGTTTGTTGCTATGTTTTTGGGATAACACAGCCTGTTGCGTAGTGAGCTGTGATAAAATCTAGAGTCTTGCTCTGCAGAGCAAACCTCCCCTTTCCTCCATCCCTCGGTACTGAAAATGGGGGTAACGTGGGGCAGCCCTTGTAGAGGGTGGTGTGCGTCCCTGCTGGGGATGCAAGTGTGTGTAGCAGGGCAGATAATGTGGTTGGAAGGACTTTTGCCTCTGTTTTCCCTCCGTCAGCCCCAGCAAACAGGCTCAGTATGCAAACTGAGTGAGGGAATAAAAGAAAAGATCTGCAAGATGACTTGGCTGTTCTGAGGAAGTGATCTGGGGTTTGGAAACGTCAGCTGTTCTGCTGGTTTGGCAAATTCTTCTCGTGTCTCTCTCTTTGTTTTCTTTCCCTGAAGAATGGCGAGGTCTGGCCGGTGCCAGTGCGGTTTGCTGTCGGGAGCTCGCGTCTGGGGCTGTAGACTGGGGGCTGGCCAGAGCCTCGCAGGGATTATCGGGGCAGACGTGCACTTTGGGAAAGCATTGAGCATTTAGGAGAGGATGTACGAGGTTTGAATGTTCCTTTCGTTCTCTGTAGAGCTTGGCATCATCCCCTCAGTGTCGCAGGGCTGGGGGCTTTGGAGTTGCGGCGGGTGGTCCTGGTTGTTCTGGCTGGCCTGCTCTTAACACACAACTGGACTTCAGGGCTGGTCTTTTTTTAGGTGGAAAAAAATCCTCTTTTAAATAAGAGAGCATTTCTGTATTAAACGGTCTGGGCATCTAAGCGTGTCGGTGATTGGGATAAGAAGACCTTGATCCCATTTGCCTTTAGGACACAGGTCCCTTTACCAGAACCCTTTGCTGAGCAGGTATTTTCTGGGGGTTTTTTCTTTGAAGGTGTTGACTCACTTAACGGCATCCGCAAAGGGCACAGGGAGTTGTGCCAAGCCTGCAAACTGCTCTCCAGCCCCATTTCCATCCCCTTTGCTGGCTTGACCCAGCTCCAGGGTGGGCTGATGGGCAGCAAGCATCGAGCCCTTTTGATTTTCTTTCTTTCTTTTTTTTTTTTCATTCAATCAATTATTTATATCTGGCTATTAAAGTAAGTCCGTAGCCTTGGGCAGTCTGGTTCCCCATCTGCTTTCTGAATTAACTGTACAGGTCACTGCTGAGCTGGTATCTGTTAGGTACAGATCCCCACCTAAATGCTGCTGACAAAGCCAGGGCTGGGGTTTAGGGTTGACTCTAGCTCAGAGGTTGGTGGGTACCTGGTCCCTGCTAGACAGAGGAGAGTGGGATTTAACACCGCTTTAAAAACCAGATTTAGAGGATTAAATCCCATCTTGCAATAATACAGCTTCTTGCATCTTAGTCCCTTAATGAGCTGTTCCTGAGCTGCTCGTCATCCTGCTGCTGCCTGTAGGCACTTCTCTAGCCGAGCGGAGGAAGGATGCACAGCGCTGAGAAGGTGTCAATGAGTTGAGTTGTCAATGCTTAGGAAAAGTAATGCTCTTCCCAAATTTTCTTTCTCCCAGGATAGCTAATGTTGCCTGGGGGTGCACAGTTTGGGCTCTTCTTGGACCTGGGGACTGTTTGCAGGCACTGCTGGTGGGAAGATGCTCCAAGGCATGACAATCAAGCAGTGGCTTGACAGGGAGCTCTGGAGGGGTCCCTAAGGCAGGAACATGGCTTATCCTGATGGATCGAGGGGCCCTTGGGAGCAGGGAGCAAGCAGGCGAGTACTGATGGATGATGCCTAAGTCCTGACTGAAGCACAGGCTTAGTGATGCTCCAGGTCCCGACAAGTGCTGGTGGTGAAGGAAAATGTGTAAAGATTTGGGCAAGGGAATGGCTGTTTTCCTTCTGTGATGGGTTTGCCCTTGGCTGGGGGCCAAACCATACACCCGCTCACCCAATCGCCCCACCCCACCCGAAGACAGGGGAGAGAATTAAAGGGGTAAAGGGAAAAAAGGACTCATGGGTTGAGATAAGAACAATTTAATAACTAAACTACAATAATATTGAAAATAATACTATATAGAAATATACAAATGAGTGATACACAGTGATACTGCCCCCCCCACCCGATGACCAAGGCTCAGCCTGTTCCCGACTAATGATCCCAAAGCAGGGAGAGTCCCGAAACTGCACTCACGGAACAGAGATAACAGTCCGAGCGTCCCAGGCCAAGAACTGACCAGGGTGGGGGAGGGGGGAGGAGGTCTTGGGAGAGCGACCACCTGGAGCAGGATGACCCAGAGCAAAAGAGATCTGGAAACAAAAAAAGGGCTGATCTTCCAAGGATCCTCACCTATATACTGGGCATGACGTGTATGTTATGGAATAGATTATTGGCCACTCTGGGTCTCAGTCCTGAACCTAAGATCAAATCCTGGGCTAGTAACCGGGCCTGTGCTCCCTCCCAGCTTCTCCGGTTTGCAGACAGCCAGAGAAGCTGAAAGACCTTGGCAGCCACATAAACATCACTTTTTATCAGCTTTCTTCTGAGCACAAATCCAAAACACAGCCTCTTGATAGCTATTATGAAGAAAGTTAACTCTGTCTCAGATTAACCCAGGACATTCCTTGTTTCCCTAAACCATCCCCCAGGTTCAGCTCTCCAGGACCACGGCATATTTTCCATTTCTCCTTCTCTCCCTCATTTCTCCCCCCTTTTTTTATTGCCTCTCATACAACACGTACTCAGGCTGGAATATTTTTGTAAAGGGTCAAACTCCTGATGTGAGACTTCTGATACCCACTAATGTTTTCTCTGGGATATCAAAGCCTCCCATGTCCCAAAACCTGGGGCTGAGCCTAACCCCTCCCCACAGTGTTGCAGCTCCTTGCTGGGATGATGCTTCATGCTTTAGTGGGAGGTAGGTAGGAGTAATGTTTGCAAGTGGGAGCTCAGCTGCAGTACTGCACAATTTTCCTCCCATCTGTGCCCATCCCAAATAAAAACCAAAAAAAAAAAAAAAAAAAAAGAGTTAACTGCGGAAGAAATCCGTCATATTCTCATTTTTCTTACAAAATGCCATTAAGAGGTACTGGCGCAGAGTGAAGGAGCATCCCAAGCATGATAAGCCAAGGATGGGTTGTGCAGTGTTATCCTTCCATGCTGTTGAAGTGATGACCCTGCAGGGCTTGCAGCCTGGGCATCCAAAGGGATGTATTCCTGGGAATGGACTGGTGATGTATTTATTGATTTGTTTTAATAAATGTTGCTGCATTCAAGACGTGGTAGGAAAAAAGAGAGAAAACCTCCATAAATCTGGCTTTATAATATTCATCTAATCTGGAAAGCTGTGATAGAACCGAGGGAAATTTTTTCTCTCTTGGACAAAGTTGAAAAAGTATATTTTAATTTAAACATTAATTCTAGTCAATATAAAAATAATTTTTATTTGACTTCCTCAGCTTCTGCTCTGAACCCTCGTTTGTGGCAGTGTTCATTTCAGAGCCATTTGGGGAATAAGAAAGTCCTGTTCTCTAAAAATCAGTATTTTTTCTTGGTCTAAGCCATATTTTCCCACGTGCTGTGCAGGTGGGTGAGGCTGGTGCGGCATCTGGGTCTATGGTTGCCCCCTTGGTGCCTCTCTTGGTGCTGGCTATCACCATGCTCAGCTCGCGGGGACCTTTCTCCTCTGGGTGTCTTCTGCTCTTGGTAGCACTTAGAAATAGAATTTGTTTGTTCATCCTAGAAACGCAGAAGGAAAAGGTTATAGCTCATTATTTCCCTTGCAGTCATCTTTAATAGATAACGTTGATAGGTATCTTGTTGACTCACAAGCCCTCCCTCTTCTTTTCATTGTTTTGTCTTCTCCTGGGGTTTCTCAAGCTGTAGGTCAACTTTGACTCACCACCATGACTGAGTAATGCCCTTGCTTCGATATGATCGCTCACCTCTCCCCAAAAAGCCTTTTTTTTTTTTTCTTTCCACCAAATGTCAAGGACGCTGGAGTCCAAACCATTTCCTTCCAGCTGAGGAGTTCACACTCTGAAAGGGGCAATGGCTCATGGTGAGATGCTGAGCGGTGGAGGCAGCCCCTGTGGGAAACATCATTGACCGTCTGAGCCACCCATCCTGGGGAAATTTGGCTTATTTCAGCTTGGCTGTTTTGTTTTAGGGTTTTTACACAGGGGAAAAATATTTTTTTAAAAAGCTGGGGGTAGCAGGAGGAGGGAGATGAGATCTTCGCACCTGGTCTTGCGTGGTTGTGGAAAGATGCTGAAGGTTGGAGCATGGAGGACAAGAGGGGCTTGAGAGCTGGGATGGTCTAACTTCTCCTCTTCTCTTTTGTTTCCCTCCCCTCTTCAGGTGGATGAAATTTATCATGATGAGTCCCTGGGTGTTCACATCAACATCGTGCTGGTCAGGATGATCATGGTGGGATACCGCCAGGTAAATACCACGCTCGGACGTGGCGAGGAGGAGATGCTGCTGTTCAGGTTGGCCATTGCTTTTTGGCTGCTGTCCCAGCTCGAGCCCTGCCCCACGAGGGAACGAGGGTCACTTAGATGCCGTACAGCCACAGCAGGCAGCTGCTACTTCTCCTAAGTCCAGTGAGTGTGCCATGACACTGGGGCTTGGTGTCTCATCACTGTAATATTTAGCACTAAAGTAAGCCCTGACTTGGAAAAATGTGGCCGTCAGCCGTCAAAGCCTGAGTGACAGCTGTGCTGAGCAGGGATGAATTTGAATATCACTGGATATTAGGGAGGAGAAGCTGAGGCTAGGATCTCCTCTATCCCAGCTTCATCTCAGTAGCCCTGTCCCGCAGCTCCCAGCTGGCTTGAACAGGGACACGAAAAGCACGGGAAGTTTTCATGCAGTTTCTCAGGTTGCATTTACTTTTTTTAATGCTCATTTGAATGCAGCAGCCAAAAGATTTTCTTTAGAACAATGTGATTTGCTGTAATTTTTGCAGCAACGCCCTATCCTACATGAGGCATTCTAGCAAGGGTATTAATAGCTCAACACAGTGATGTGTGTGTGTGGTCCACAAATAACCCCATTAGGTCTTGGAAAAAAACCTGCTTGTTACAGAAAGCTGCTTGGCCAGAAACCCAGCATCTCCTAGAGAGCCAGGGGTGAGCAGATGTTTGAATCCAGGTGAGAAACCTCAGCTCACCACTGTCTCAGTCTGATACTACCAGAGTGAGCCCTCCTGCAGCTTCTGGTCTCCCATCTTACACTTTGTAGCATTAAACTTCCATGGCTTCCACTTGCCAGGGGAAGAGCAGTATTTCTAATCTTTCTTCCTATCACGGTGGCTCAGTGGATGCCTGCCTGAGAGCATAATTTATTTTATAGAATATCATTTATTTTATAGAACGTAATGTATTTTATAGAGCATAATTTTGCAAAATGCTAATCTTGACCAAAAAAAGTACCTGCCTGTACCAGACCACATTTACTTCTGGGAATGATTGTCTTGCTGTTTATAAATAAAAAAAGGTGCAAGATGCTTTGCAGATGCAAAGTGGGATGTTGCTGCTTCCAGTGAGGAAGCCTTTCCAACTCCAAAACTGTTGTCAGGTTCATTCTCCCCTACTAGCTTACCCACCTTTTAATTTATTTTTTTTCATTTATTTTTAAAAAATTCTTTAACCAGTCAGTCAGCCTGATAGAGCGAGGAAACCCATCTCGGAGCTTGGAGCAGGTCTGCCGCTGGGCTCACTCGCAGCAGCGCTCCAACCCGGAGCACACCGAGTACCACGACCATGCTGTATTCCTCACCAGGCAAGATTTTGGTCCCGCAGGTATGCAAGGTACTGTATTTGTCTCAGTCAGGTATGTGCAGTTTGCTGGGGGAAAGCCAGCGAGGGGAGAGGATTTCTTGCAGACACAGTCTGGTTATTGGCCAGCAAGGTCCAGAAAAAGGTATAAAAATTGGTATTTTTTTTATGTGAAGTAGAAGAAAGGCAGAATTAATCCAGGGCATCAACCTGATTGGATAAAAGATATCTTTATTCATTCTGCCCTTACTTTGATTTAATGCACCAGTCCTCCTCTTGTCCCAAAGTGCCTTCAACAGTTTAAAAATAATATAAAAAAGATGGAATACCACAGGGAGCTTCACGGGGCCAGTCAAGCCTTTCTGTCCTCTGGAGGACCTTTAAAACCTGGTTTTACATGGGTTGGTTTCTTGGCCCTCTTAGGACTTGGACATGGGAGCATTGAGTAAACCCTGGGCCAGAGAGTAGGTCTCACTGTGGTCTACAGGAGCCATGCCAAAAGTCCTCTCACTCTCCTGGTACAGAGGCTGTGCTGATGTGGTGGTCTGAGAGGTTAGAGACCCAGGCAAAAAAAAGAGGCAGGAAAAGCTTCTGGCATTTCACAGCTCCATTAGAAACATGGATGCTTTGGTGGCATCTTGAGAAGTGACTTCTCCCAGTTCTCCTGAGCCCGCTGCCTCCAGATTGCCACTTCCACCTTCCCACACTGCTGCCAAGGTCTGAATTTCCCATCAGGAGGCTCCTTGGATGCCATGAACGTGCTGGTAGTGTCACACTGGTTTGTAGCACGAGTCCTTCTGGTGAGCATGGGAGGAACGAGAGATGGAGAAGGAGTCCTGTGCTCACCTGGATTACCTCCTTGAAAAGGGTCTCCCAGCGGATGAAACAGAGGAGATATCCAGCTGGAAGCCCTCTTGAGAGTGCTGTTGGCAATCAAAGAGCAGAGCTTGGGTTGTGCCAGCAGCCTCCCCGCTGAGCCGCTGGCCTGCCTTGGGCACTTTGTCTGGAGTCGTGCGGCAGTGTGTGTCAAATACCAGTTTTGTTTCATTTTTCTAGACCCTTCCTGGCAAAGTGACTGTGTCCAAAGGCATTGGTGAGAGGACCTTTTTTGGCACATCAGCAGAAGGGGAAGACTGGCTGAACTTCCCCTTGGTGGGAAGGAGTTGTGAGACTGATGGAGTAGCCCTGCTCTAGGAATGCTCATTCCAGCTCCTTCCCCTTTTCCCTGCAGATCTAGCTCCCTGCTTTTCACACATCTCCGGGACGATGTTTGCTTTTTGCAGAAGTCCCTGTGGCTGCGATGTCCTTACTTGGCTGTGTTGCATGGCACAAGGTCCTGGCGCTCCTCACCCATCAGGAACTGCCCTCTTTGTTGGGCTGCTGGAATAGTAACGCTTTGCTTCCTCTTTTGCCTCTTTTCCTCCAAACAATGTCCTTTCAGCTCCCTGTCCCCCTTTTCAGCTCAGGGTTATGCACAATGAAGGACCAAACCATGGCACCTTCAATACTTCCTCATGGCATTTGTTCGCTGATGGTATCTAGGCGGCTTGTTGAGATGATGCAAATACCTGCTGGCTTCTCTGGAGGATGTGCTGGTTGGGAAGCATCCGGCCTGCTCATACGTGCCCTGAAGCTGAGTTGAAGGCAGAGCTTGTCCTGCCCCAAAGATCCTACAGCCTAAATCAACAAGCCAGGAGAATGGAAGCCTTTGAGGATTAAGTCCTCCAAGTCACAGGGACCTGGGAATGAAGCCTAAATGTCAAGCCCCAAGCTTAGCTTGATCCTCAACACTCCTTACGGTTGGGTGCCCAAATTGTGATGGAGATGGGGCTGAATCTGACTCGTCAACACACACGGTCCTCGTAGCCTAGGCTATTTCCATGCTGGCAAGCCAACCATGCTCCATGACCACATCCACACGAAACATGGCTTGTACCTCCCCCTGTGTCATCTCACCCCCCCTTTGCCAGTAAACCAGAGCAGTCTCTGGTCTAGCACAGTGCTGGTTAAGCTGGATGCAAGTCCTTGCAAAGCCTTGTGGTCTTGCGGCGTAAGCTGTTCTCTGTTGCAGTGCAAGCCAAGCCCTAAGGAGGTTTACAAAAACTTCTCAGTGCTGGCAACAGCCGTGCTCCCTGGCATCTTGTGACGGGATGGGAGCAATGGTGGCCAACACGGAGTAATTTTGGAAAGCTGATGCAATTGTTGCTTCAGGAGTGGAGGGAAGCTGGAAGGCATGAAGGGGAAGGGCCAGGAGGGACAGCTGAGCTGCACTGCCATTGCACTTGGGCTGCAAATAAACCTCTGCCCTTCACAGAGAAATGCCTCTCGGTGGTGGACAGATGGATTGTAAATTATTGATTGCTGCTGATGAAGCCCTTTCTAAACCAGAAGAGCACTGGGTCCCTCTGCAGTTGTCAGGCATGGAGGGATTTCTGCTTAGATTTAATCCATTGCTCTGCAATCACCCACCTTTGAGCAGGCTGGTGGTCTGTGTAGAAGGTCAGAGAGGTTGAAGGCAGGTAGGAAATGTCCATAAAGGAGAAATTTAAAGGAAGCGAGAGACTGGCTGGTGTCTTGCTGGTATGGTGAGGACATATTGCTTCTCCCATGTGCGTGCCTGGTAAGCATTTGTGGGCTCATCTAGTCTTAACCAATTAAGTATTTTCCAAATAATTACTTCTTGCCATCATTCTCCTTGGAGAACACTTCACTTCTTCCAGTTCTTGCTGGAGTCTTAGTGATGGGAGATCGGTGTTGGCCTTCCTGAGCATCCACTTTTGCATGTTCCTTTGTCCCATCTCCTGTCCAGACATCCAGAGCCTCCTTGGCTGGGAATTTGTCCCATTTTCATCCTAGACAAGGTATATTTGCTCTCCCCTTGTCCAGAAAAATTTCCACATCTTTGCTCTTTAAAAAAAAAACCCCAAAACTTTCAAAGTGATTTATCCAGGATTCAACTCATTACTCTATGGTTGAACCCAATTATCTGATTCTCTCAAGCTCTTAGTTTGACCTCTTGCTTTTTGCTTTCCTTTTGACTGCAGTGCCCATTGAGCGCATCAGTTCTCTGCTCTTTTTCTTAAGGTATTTTAGTTTCTTTGTTCATTGCAGTAAGTCTTGTTGCCTGCTTGGATGTGGAGAAGATGAAAAACAAATGCTTCCCCCAGTCAGTAAAACCCTGAGTGTATTTATTGAAGCTGCTTTGAGCAGGTCCTTGTCATCATGGAGGTTTCTTTGAGGTTCCGTGGTGCTTTGCAGGCAGAAGTGAACTCGCTCTGCATGTAAGGAGAATTGGGTATTTATTTAATCTTGGGTTTTTGCTCAGCCACTTGGGTTCACCTGGCTTCTCCTTCACTTCGAGCACAGGCAAAAATACATCTGTTGCTCTCCACAAAATACCGTGTGACTCAGCCCTTCCAAGGGTCAGGTCTGGGCTTGTTTTGAAAAATTAAATTATGATGGTGAGAGAGGTTTCCTTTGGAATTTCCATTGCAGGTGGACACCCTGGAAAATCTCCACCCAGCTGATAAATAGAAATATCGAGGGCTCATCCCAGACCTCCTGGGTTTTGCCTTCTTCCTGGGGTGATGTTAACTTCTGGGTGTTGCAGGAGCACCCCGGGCCTTGTCCCGTCATGCATCCGAGCCGCTCAGTGTGCCCACAGAGTCAACTGCTGTTGACTTTAGGGCAGAGCTGTAGGAAACCTTTTATTTTTTACTTCAGTCTCATCCTTGGCCAGCTGCGTGGTGCCAGGACCCACCCTCTCCTTCAGCTCTGGAATGAAGCTGAGTCTAATTGCTTCCTTTCCTTTATACCCTCTTCCAGGGCACTTAGTCCTAAATCACTGGCTTGGTGCAAGTGGCCCATGGAGATGGTGATGGGTGGGCTCCGTGGACCCCATTTTTTGGCCGGGGTGTGTGCAGGAGGGCAGGCATAGGGGTGTGCATCCCCCCTCAGCTCCTCAGCATCCCTCTCCTGCCGCAGTTCAGCTTTCCTCTTGGAGCATCCCTGTCCCCAGGGCAGAGTTATCCAGTGTGGTCCTGCCCTGCTTTCGTCTCTCGGACCTGTGAGTCATTCTTTGACTAACTTCTTTTCCCTTCATGCCAAAAAAGGGTCAGGCTTTAAAAAAAAAAAATCAGGAAAGGAAATTCTAGAAGGTGCCAAGGAATTAATTGAATTGGGTAGAAATAATGTGAGAAAAAAAGGAAAAAAAAAAGAAAACCAAAATAAAATTTCGATGCCACATTGCTGAGTGGGTTTGGGGAGGCTTCCCTGTCCCCAGCTGCCCCTCTGCACTGCGCTTGATCGAGGGCTGGGGTCCAGGAGGTGCATGGTCCCCTCTCGGCTCTGTCTGGCGGGGAGGTGCCCCCATGCCTGGGGCTGGTGTGGGTGCATGTGTGGGTGCATGGCAGGGCTCCCCCATTGCCTGCCGTCAGCCAGGTTGGATTTTCAGGGGGGCTCTGGGGGACACCTCATGCCTTTCATTCTCTCTCTTCCTTTCTTCTTTCTTAATTTTTTTTCTAATAAAGAAGAACAGAGGGGATGCTATTTCTGGGCTGGGAGAAGGTGGTCACTGACACCAATAAAGCCCCCAGGGGTCCCTTGGCTGCCCTCTCACCAGCCCGGGAGCTTGGCACGAGAGCAGAGAGGTGCCAGCGAGCCTCAGCATGACCCCAGGCTGCTCTTGGCACTGGCAGCAGGGCTGGATGGACTGGTGAGCAAGTCCTTGGGCTGCCGTCCAAGTGACCCGGGCAGCTCCTCCTCCTCCTCAGCACCTTCCTCTTCATTCCCTTCTTGCTCGCCCCAGGCTATGCACCGGTGACAGGGATGTGCCACCCCCTCCGCAGCTGCACCCTCAACCACGAAGACGGCTTCTCCTCGGCATTTGTCGTCGCCCACGAGACCGGCCACGTGTAAGTCATGGGGGCAGAGCTGGCTGTCCCCTCCAGTGGCTTTTGCCTTTCCTTCAGTGGCGTGGTTGGGGAAGCATCCCTGCAGGGTGATGGTGGCGGGGGACATGCGTGGTGGTGCCTCTTTCTTTGGAAAAAGGGACTTTCTGCTGGTGAAGGTGCGTACACTATCGCGGTACGTATGGACTGGTATAAATTGTCCGGGAATCTGATTTGACACTGTTTTTTCCCACCAGGTTAGGCATGGAGCATGATGGCCAGGGCAACCGCTGCGCCGATGAGACCAGCATGGGGAGCATCATGGCACCACTGGTCCAGGCTGCCTTCCACCGTTACCACTGGTCCCGCTGCAGCAAGCAGGAGCTCAACCGCTACATTCAGTAGGTTGATTTTAATCAGAGGGCTGTTCTCTCTTTGGTGGGTGAAGCTCCTGCATGAAGCAAGCAGTGGGCAGGTCCCCACTGGGATTGCTAGTTTTGTCCAGAATAGCAAGAATGGGTACTGGGAGGTTATTTTCCCTTTTTCTAACGGCTTTGGTTCCTTGCATGAATCTGAATTGGTTTTGGGCTGTGGAGACTGGAGAGAAATAGGAGCCTGATAAAAGCTGGAGATATCAACAGAGCAAGAGTCTGCAGAATATCCCTGCTGGTGGAGCCCAGATCCAGATCTCAAATATTTTTGCCATTTGCTTTGGGCAGCGTGTGTGATTTATCCTTTAGGCTGCAAAATATTGTGTGTTGTATTAAAAAAAAAAAAAAAGGCGTAGATAGAAGTCAGCAGCTTTCTGTGCATCGGGGCCAAGACAGGTGGCAGGAGCAGGTGGCAGTGGTGGCTCCCACCAGCATCAAGGTGCTCTGTCCCCTGGGATGCTGCAGGCAGCAGAGGGATGCTTGTCTTTGGGGGACTTCATGCAGTTGTTTTTTGCTGAAAACATGTTTTTCAGCGGTCGGTAGTGAGCATCAGCGCCAAGAAAATTCAGATTTCTCAATATCTGAATTTGGAGGGAGGGCTGGAGGTGAGGGGAGGGGTGAAGGAGGAAAATCCCATGTCTGACTGTGTCCTGCATCTCTGCAGCTCCTACGACTGCCTCCTGGATGACCCCTTTGAGCACCAGTGGCCCGCCTTACCTAAGCTGCCGGGCATCAACTACTCCATGGACGAGCAGTGCCGCTTCGACTTTGGCGTGGGCTACAAAACCTGCACGGCAGTGAGTAGGGACCTGATACAGGTTCTATGCCCCAGCACCAGCCAGGTGCTGTGGGGACGAGGAACGTCCCCGCTGCTGTCCCAGCCCAGCTCCTCTGTGCTCCCCAGTTCCGCACGTTTGACCCCTGCAAGCAGCTGTGGTGCAGCCACCCGGACAACCCCTACTTCTGCAAGACCAAGAAGGGGCCACCCTTGGATGGGACCGAATGCTCTCCAGGCAAGGTAGGGGCTCGTCCTGCCTCGGGAGGGGACGGGGACACCCTTGAGGGCAGCAGGCGGTGGGTGTCTTGATTTTAGCTGGCGTTACTCCTTATTTTCCCCAGTTTGTGCTCAGATGAGGACTTCGTTTTTTTTATGATCCACTCGCTTCTGCGGAGAAGCGGGACTTGTTTTGTCACCTGGCAAAAGAGCAATGATGTCATTGCAGATCCAACCTCATGATGTCATCAGGCTTTTACTTTAGGTACTCTTAGAGTTCCCGTTAGCACAGTATGAAGGTGTGATGCGCTGGAAAAAATGCCAGCCCGTGTAGTTTTTGGGTGTAAAGAGTCTTCACCACAGAACGGCTGGGTGTAAAGAGTCCAACAGCTTTTGCTGAGTTTCTGTACAAATCCCAAAAATCTAGTTGAAAATGCTGCCTGCTCAAGTGCTCAAATGACTCTTCTATGAAAGCTTCCAAACATGAGGCTTTTTGAGCCATGTACAGATGTGTTACACATTGTACTGGCACATTGCTCCAGGGGACTGCAATGTCTGGACCGGGAACTCCATGGGCTGCTCCGCATTTTATCCCTTTGGGGAGCTTCCCTGCATCTGTTGCAATGACCAGAGAAAGCACCACTGGATTTTCCCCGGAGTTAAACCCCAGGTCTGGGTGCCCATGGGGGGATACCGCAGCTTTGTGCCAGGCATTGGGAACATGCATGGGAGGAAGCGTGGAGCTCTGGATTTCATTTACCAAAATGCCCAGCAGCTTGCTGCTGTGCTCCTTGCAAAAGTTTGGGTTCATCCCTGCCCTATGCCAGTGAAGAAACATCCCCAGGGCTGATCCAGTCCTGCGCCCAGGTGTAATTCAGCACCTGCCTGAGGATCTGTATGGGCAGGGAGAGGCAGTTGGGTTGCAGAGAGAAACACAGTCCAGGAACATGGAATTTTGGTGTTAGGGAAAGCAAATCAAAGGGATTCGTTTTGCAGAGGGATCTTTGCATGCCCCAGGCTTGTGCCTTCTGCAGGCTTTTGCAGGGGTTTGTCCTGCATCCTGGAGCAAATCACACCTCGTCTCTTGCCCGCTTTTCCAGCTATGATTTAAAAACCCAAAACACTTGCAAACAAGTAAACCCCAGAGAAAACCATGACAACGTAACCTAGCTGCCAGCTTTCCAGCTGATGTGAACTACCACTGTTCTGGTTTACACAGCTGCATACCCTTCTATACCAGATCCGAAGCATGGATGTGTTGGGACCCTGCCCTGCTTATCCCCACTCCTCTGCCACCTTTTCTGCTGCGAGTCCCAGGCTGCTTGTCCTCTGTGCTCTGTCATGAAATGCTGCAGGTTGCTTGCCCCGAACCACAGGCAACACAGCGATTGCCCAGCCTCGGTCGGATGCCCCAGGACTACTCCTGGTCCTGCTGCCTATGGTTGGGACGTGCCCGAGGGCATGATGATGAGCACCTTCCTCCCACACTTTGTGTTGGCTGCTTTGTGAGCCATGAACCATTTTTGTCATGCTGTGGGTACAGGAGGGTTCTCTTTGATGGTGCTGAGTGCTTTGGAGGAGGCAGGTGTGGAGATCCCCCCTCTTTTTTCCTCCCTTCCAGTGGTGCTTCAAGGGTCACTGCATCTGGAAGACGTCAGAGCAGCCCTACAGCCAGGACGGCAGCTGGAGCTCCTGGTCCAAGTTTGGCTCGTGCTCCAGGACCTGCGGGGGAGGCGTGCGCTCGCGCAGCCGGAGCTGCAACAACCCTCCGTATGTTTGGCCCCCATCTCCCTCCTTATAGTGGGAGTAAAACCGAAAGCAGTGTGTTCCTGGTGCTCTCAGTCGGCAGGGATGGGGTCCTGCATGAGCTGTGCCCTGCGTTTGGGCGCTGAGCTGCGTGGTGTTTGCACAGCGTCCCCCATGATGCTCTTTTCAGCCACTGGCTTTTCTTTTCCAGCCCGGTGTATGGCGGGCGCCACTGCCCGGGAGCCACCTATGAGTACCAAGTGTGCAACGCCGAGGAGTGCCCAGGGCCCTATCAGGATTTCCGTGCCCAGCAGTGCTCCAAGCGCAACTCCTACTACACCCACCAGAACAGCAAGCACGCCTGGCTTCCCTACGAGCATCATGACGGTGAGTGGTGGCAAGTCCCAGCAAAGGAGTGGTAGCCAAGTTGCCTTCCCTTCCAGAGGAAGCCATGCTGGTGGCTGTCACCGTGGGATGGGGACTGTGCCAGCTGCATGGACGTTGGGCTGTGGAGAGCCAGAGATAAATCCCTTTGTGCTACTTTAAAAGTTTTATCTCCGCTCTCTGTGTGCTTTGGCAGGCAAAGGGCTTGTTTTCCTTGGAGATGGCAGGGTGACAGCACTGCCTGCTCACTCCTCGAGCTGCGGTGGGGAGCGTGCCATGCCGGGCTGGGCTGGGAGCCAGGTCCTCCTGCCTGGCTCTGTGTTCCTTGTGCATGCAGCCAGGCGTCTTGCGTTGCGGTGTCACGTAGTGTATCCTGTCCGGTTGCCTTCTCTTAATTTCCCCAGCGTGCTGGGCAAAAGCACAGGCTCTCGAGCAGCAAATGGATGCAGCAAAATAAGGCACATGAGTCGTGTGGGCTTTGTAAATCTGGCTCTGCTCAGGGGTACAGGCTGGGATGGGTTTCTGCCTTCAGTCACTGATGTATTTCCACAAACCCTTTTTTTTCCCTCCCCCTTTTTACCCTTTACTTTTTCTTTTGCCGCAGATGCTCAGAAGTGTGAGCTGATCTGCCAGTCAGAGGGGACAGGGGACGTGGTGTTCATGAATCAGGTTGTTCACGACGGTACCCGCTGCAGCTACCGAGACCCCTACAGCATCTGCGTCCGGGGCGAGTGTGTGGTGAGGAGCTGACAGCTGCCGCATGGCTGTCCCTGTCCTTTCTCTGTTCAAGGGACAGCTTTTGCATCCCCTGGGTCCCTTGGGGACACCTGGGGACCGACCCTGTGTGCAGCGATGGGCTATGGGGATGGCAGAACAATGGGCTGTGGGGCCGTGGGGATGTAACCCTGTGCTTGTCTTCTCTTCCCCCCGGGTGACAGCACGTCGGCTGTGACAAGGAGGTCGGCTCCCTGAAGCAGGATGACAAGTGCGGGGTCTGCGGGGGGGACAACTCCCACTGCCGGACAGTGAAGGGCACGCTGGCCAAGACCCCCAAGCAGCCAGGTGAGTGGGCTGGGGAGGTTTGGGAGCAGATTTGGTCAGGGTCAGCTGGATTCACATGTGGTACGGGTCCAGTTGGAGCAAACCTCCGCTTTCTCTTCCCTCCATCCTGGCTCCTTCTCCTTCAGCAGGTCTTTTGAAGATGTTTGATATTCCAGCTGGGGCGAGGCACCTTCAGATAGAAGAGATGGAGCCGGGATCCCACAGCATTGGTAAGAACACCATAGCTCACCTCCCCCTTCACCAGCTATCTTTTTCTTGGCCCAGTTCTGGCAATTCCCACCCGAAGGGTCTTATTTGAGTCACTCAGGTCCTTCAAAAGCAGTGACCAGAGGCAATGACGTTGAAATACCTCCTTTCTCCTCCAGCTGTTAAGAATCAAGCCACGGGTAATTTCATCCTTAACGCCAAGGGCAAAGAAGCCAAAAGCCAAGTGTTCATTGAGATGGGCTTGGAGTGGGAATACACTGTGGAACACGGCAAGGAGAGCCTGAAAACCAGCGGGCCTCTGCACGAGGCCGTCAGTGTCCTGGTAAGGCTGGCTGCCACCTCCTCTGGGGGTGCTGGGGATGACCATTGCCCAGCAGTACAGAGAGGGGAGGTGGTCTGAGATGGAATGTAAGAGGTGATGGAAGGACTTTGGTAGAGAAAGGATGTGGGGCATGTTGTTACAACCAGGGAAATGAACTGTCCAAAAGCAAGGGGTGAGGAGCTGTGCACAAGAATGGCATAAGGATGCGTTGCTTGGGTGCTTGCCTTTGAATCCAACTGTGTTTTGCTCTGTGCAGCAATTGCTTAGGAGTCCATGTCTAATTTTAGTTTTACTGGTATTTGGGGGGATTAGGGATTGGGTTCCCTGGTCACCCAGGGAAGGGTAGGTTTGCACTCCTGTCCACCCCCGTGGCCAGCACTGGCTTTGGATGTAGATTGTGGTCCTGTGGGTCAGAGGAGAGGTCAGAGACACGTGACCCAAGGCTAGAGTTGGGATGTTTCGGCAGGGTTTTTCTCCACAGCTGGACAGGTGTGTTCCCAAAATGTAGACTCTGTGTTCAGAGCCCACTTGATCATGCTGGAGGTAGTAATGGGGAATGGGGTTTGTTTCTCCTACTCTTGGATGTATCATATCATGTGGTCGTTGTTCACTTTTTTCTCCTCTCCTCTTCTCCTCCTCTTCTTCTCCTTCTTTCCTCCTTGTCTCCTCCTCGTCTCCTCTTCATCTCTTCTCCTCCTCCTCTTCCTCCTCTTTTCCTCCTCCTCGTCCCTTCCCTCTGCCCATGGCATAACTCCTTCCTCTCCTTCTCCCTCTCCGATTGCCCTGCCTCTGCCTACAGGTCATCCCTCAGGAGGAGGAGGCGAGGAGCAGCCTCATGTACCGCTACATCATCCATGAAGACCTGCTGCCCATGATCGGGAACAACAACGTCCTGCTGGAGGAGATGGATTCCTATGAGTGGGCCCTCAAGAGCTGGTCTCAGTGCTCCAAGGCGTGTGGAGGAGGTACAGTTCCCTTTGTAGCAGCCTACTGCACGTGCTTGGGAGGATGCTTGGGTGTGTTAGGCAGTGCTGGAGCCCTTTGGGGTGTCACTGGCTTGGAAACATGGAGATACTGTTTGATGTAATTTCTCCCCAAGATCACATCCCCAAGGTGTGAGGTTTTAGACCTAGACCTGGTACTGCTTGGAAGCTTGGCTTTCTTCTCCATGCCCGTACCCATGTTCTTTGCATCTCAGTAGTTTGGGGGATTGACTGTGTGGGGATATGAGTGATAAAAGCCATGATTGCAGAGCAGTTGAGGTGAGCATTTTAGCCAGATTTCTTATGAAAATAAGCCCGTGCAATCATGTGTGCATACCTTTGGCTGCCTATCCATGTTCCTTCTATGAGTTTTTAATTCGTTGGCTGTTTTTAACCCAGTCTGAGCCAACAGATAGTGATTTTGCAGATGACTGCTCCTAAAGCTTTGCATGGAAATAGGTGTGGACACACCAGTAAGTGCTGTGTTGGAGGGAAGGTAACACATGTGAGCTTCTGGCAGAGTTCTCGCTGGATTTTTCTCTCTGGGAGCAAGCATGTGTGCCTGTGTCCTGGGGCCAGGAGGTTGCTGATGAAACCCTTGCCTTGATACAGCCAAAGGGATCTGATTTCGAACTTGGTCCTGCTCAGAGCAGGTGCTGGAACAGAGACCTCCAGAGCTCACTTCCAACCTGCCTGACCCTCCAATGATGGAGAAAGACCTCGTGCTTTCACCTTGCGCTGTCCAGCTCACGGCTGGAAGATTTTGGGATTTGCAGAGCTGGGAAGTGAGCCCTTGCTGGCTCCCTAGACCTCGCTGCAGCCCATGCTGGTCCTTTCCCAAGTGAGCACAGCTTATTTGGCACATTCTAGCAGTGCTTTGGCTGGGCTTCTGATCTGCTGCTTTTTTTTTCCTCCTGTCTGGAGAAATAAAGCCAAATCTGAAGCTCGCTAAGTGCTCATGGCTATGTCTGCCCCAGAAAACTCTGATGGCTTGACCTGGGTTTTTGGGAGAACAGCCTGGGGGAACAGCCTGGGGGAGGGATGGGGGGGAAGCTGAGTCTGCTTCACGCCTCTCTGTGCGTGCACCCCATGGCAGCCTGGGTGACCCCAGGAGGCTGAGGGGGTCCAGTGCCCCCACAAGCATCCTCTTCAAGCCTGGCTGAAGGACTGCTTGGGTCCCACCTGACCGGTGACATCCAAGAGCATCACCAACAGGGATGCGGGAGAGGGACTGGGTGGGGAGCGGGTGGGACCCCCACACCCACAGCCTCACCGACCGTGCTCTGCCCCTGCAGGCATCCAGTACACCAAGTACGGCTGACCGACACCCGCAGGGGCCCAAGGACCTTCTGTGACAATGGCAAGAAGCCGAAACCCATCCGCCGGCGCTGTAACCTCCAGGAGTGCTCCCAGCCAACGTAAGTCCTCCTGAGGGGCTTTCATCCCCTTGATGAGGGTATCTGGGGGATGTGTTTGGAGCACCCCATCTGCTTCCCAGTTTAGGCATTGCCTCTAACGCCTTCGCCATGTCTGTCAGCAGCTGGGTGGCTGAGGAGTGGGGTGCCTGCAGCAAATCCTGCGGCAAGCTGGGGGTGCAGGCACGGGTGGTGCAGTGCGTGCAACGCCTGCATGATGGCACCAACCGCACCCTGCACACCAAGTACTGCCCCGGCCAGCGCCCTGAGACCCGCCGGCCCTGCAGCCGCCTGCCCTGCCCGCCACAGTGGAGGACGGGAGCCTGGTCGGAGGTGAGCTGGTGAGGAGGGAGGAAACCCCCCTGGATGCATGGTGGGGACAGGAGGAGGGGGATAGGGGTGCTTTCAGAACAGGCTGGCCTCATGGGATGTAAAGGGTAACAGGGTTGGTGATGTTTTCATTGGGGCTTGTAGGGA